CTTTTGGGAGTGGTGTTCGGACGACAAGTAAGTAGATGTTGCCGCTCGGAGGAAAGTTCACCTTATTTAGGACCTCGCTGCGCAAACAAAACGGTGCTACCCCTCTTGCGAAGAGCAATGGCATAGCAGATATGCGTCTCTCCAAGAAATCAATAAGGGGTTGCAACTCGGGGTCGTCGCGTTGCTGCTGTGCGATTGTAGACGTGTTGACAACACCTACAAACGCCACGTCGTCATAATGTTCGGCATTTGAGTCTTCCGATGGGGCGCGAGAAAGGCAATCGGGATCCGTATGTGTCTTTCCCGATTTATAAACTATAGAGAAGTTCCACCGGACTCACGTCACGAAAATGCGGGGGCGCTGTCTTGGTAGGCAAAAGACGCTCTGCCTACCGCAGTTTCTGCTGGGTTTTCAATGGTGCATGTGGTGTTCTCAGTCAAGCAACGAGAAAAAAAAATATATGCCGACGTACTGCGTCGCTGTTGGATGTGAGTCGCGTCTCACAACTTAGTTTTGTTTGTTGGCGCACATCGCAGCCCTCAGCGCTTATGACGGAAGTTACGTGTGGATGTCCCTATAATTTTGCCCATAATGTTGACATCGGCCTACCTGTGTTTACAAACATGGAATGGGTCTATAGCCATGTCAAATTCTTGAAGGTTGAGGCTCCAGCGTGCCAATCGATCTGACGGGTCATTTAAGTTCATTAACCAGCAAACAGAGTGGTGGTCGCTGATGACTTTAAACGGGCGGCCGTACACATATGGGCGAAACTTTATGACCGCCCACACCACTGCAAGACACTCTTTTTCAGTGGTGGAGTAATTCTCCTCTGTACGGGAGGGAGTCCTACTTGCATAAGCAATTACTCGTTCGGTGCCATCTTGTCACTGAACGAGCACAGCTCCTAAGCCGACATTGCTGGCGTCGGTGTGAACCGCTGTCAGAGCGTCATCATCGAAGTGTCCGAGAACTGGAGAGCTTTGAAGACGTTGTCGCAGCTCGTTGAACGCAGCCGCTGCTTTTCACCCCACATGAATGTGACGTCTCCTCGGGGGAGTTGTGTCAAAGGTGATGCAATACGCGAAAAATTCTCAATGAAGCGTCGATAATAGACGCAGAGGCCTAAAAATCACCTCACTGCCTTCTTGTTTGATGGCGTGGGAAAACTTGTAACAGCGACTATTTTGTTTGGGTCAGGCAGTACACCTTCACTGCTGACAAGTTTTCCCAAGAAAAGAAGCTCTTCGAAGCCAAAGTGACATTTTTTCAGGCTTAAGTGCTAGTCCGGCCGATCGTATCGCTTGAAATACCACGCGTAGTCACTTCAAGTGCTCATCAAATGTCACTGAAAATACAATTACATCGTCCAATTATACCAGACACGTTTGCGACTTCAAGCCTGATAGGACTGTGTCCATCAGCCGCTGAAACATTGCTAATGCCGAGAACAAGCCGAACGGCAGATCTTTAAAATCATAAAGACCATTGAGTGTCACGAATGCTGTTTTTTCTGGATCTTTTTCATCAACTTCTATTTGCCAATATCCGCTCCGTAAATCCATCGACGAGAAATAACGTGCATGGCGTATTAGATCGAGGAAATCGTCTATACAAGGTACTGGGTAAACGTTCTTATTCGTAACCTGATTGAGCTTGCGGTAATCAACGCAGAAACGTAAGATACTGTGTTTTTTCTTCACCAATACTACCAGTGATCCCCAAGGACTTTTCGACGGCTGAATAACGTCATACTGAAGCATATTTTGCCCCTGACTTTCTATTCCCTCAGGTTGCCGCGGAGCTAGCTACTCGGTATGGGTTCTGCCGTATGGGTCTGGTCATTTAATCCGGTATGATGCGATGTTTCGTCAACGACCTTTGGCGAACTCTGGACGTCGAAGAAAAACAGTCCTGAAACTCATTAATCGGCCCCAGAAAGCTTTGCTTCGGCGGAGCAGTAAACTTGGACCAACGTCGACGGATTGAGGGGCTGACCCAGTGACATCGGCTTTCTCCACAGTCAAGCAGCCTGTCACCTCAGTGAGCTCCTCCCCGTACGTGACTGCCATACCTCTCGCAAGATATCGTCGCTCAGCACTGAAGTTCGTAACCAAAACATGCATGTATCCACAATCGATGCTTACGGCGGCTCTTGCAATAGATAGGCCTTGGCTGAAAAGCAATGCTGGAATTCATTCGGCGATATGGTCGAAGTTGCCTGGTTGGTCACATGTTACAGCTACGAGAGCACTTGACTGTGATGAAAAGGTCACGTGATCTTCGAAAAAGCACAGATGTTTACGTCACTGGTCGTTACATTGCATATCTGAAACTTTATCTGGGGCCATTCAAAATGTTCCTTACTTGTCCGGAATGTCTATGACGGCGCCGTATTCACTCAGGAAATCCATCCGCAAAATCAGGTCTCTGCAGCACTCGTAAAAAATCACGAACGTGGCAACAAAAGCTGAATCAACGATACTAATTCTGGCAGTGCACTTTCCAGTCAGCGCCATCGGTTGGCCTCCCGCAGTTCTTATGTTAGGCTCCGTCCATGAAGTTCTAACTTTTTTAACCAATCGGCAAGCTTTCGGCTTATGATTGAGACATCTGCGCCAGTATCTACTAGCGCTGTCACAGGACGTTCGTCTATGTAGACAGTTAGGTCGGTGCTTAGAATTTCCTGTGGGGTCGGTGGCATTGCATCGTTCGTCGTATCGTCGTATGGTACTGGTACGGGAGGTATCGCAGCATCTCGACGGTCGGCAACCTTCCCTCCAAAGGTCGCAGCTGTTAGGCCCCGCCGCGGTGGTCTAGTGGCTAAGGTACTCGGCTGCTGACCCGCAGGTCGCGGGTTCAAATCCCGGCTGCGGCGGCTGCATTTCCGATGGAGGCGGAAATGTCGAGGCCCGTGTGCTCAGATTTGGGTGCACGTTAAAGAACCCCAGGTGGTCAAAATTTCCGGAGCCCTCCACTACGGCGTCTCTCATAATCATATGGTGGTTTTGGGACGTTAAACCCCACAAATCAATCAATCGCAGCTGTTAGTTTCACCGATGAGGGCTTGGGGACCTGCCCCGGACAGCGTAGGCGTAACTACAATTGTTCGGCGAAGAGCTCAGCGAAGGTGACAGAGAGCGCGATCGACGATACAGAGTGGATAGCTGTTCTTGCGGGTGCGCGCTGTCACACTGGGCGTCGAAACGAGGTCGTGATAAAGTCGGCGCATAAGTTGGGTATCTTTGTTGACGATATGGGCAGATGCGGTAAACATGCCCAGCTTCTCCGCAATGGAAACAGAGTGGACGGTGGTCGACGGTGCGCCACAGATCTGTCTTGCGAACGAATAGTCCACTGCATGGTGGGAACCCTCGGCGACCAAGTTGCAGGTGTCGGTGGAGATTAGAACGGAGGGTAGAACAGAGTTTCCGTAAGTGCGTTATATTGTGGATTCGTCGTCGTTGGCGGAGGAGGCGGCGGCGGCGGCGGTGGGCTGTAAGAATGAGCCAGTGCAGACAAGTTGTGCGGCACTAGTGACGGACGACGGGTGGCTGGCCCATAGTTGATAGATCGCTGGGCTAGTAGTGATTCGGGCTGCGAAAATGCTTGCCTGATTTTCTGCCGCACAACTTCTTCCACTGAAGCCATCGCAGGTTCTTGCGGAGCCACAAGGAAATTGCGGATCTCCTCACGAACAACCTCGCGAATAAGCTCACGCAGAGAACTGTCACTGCCGGCCGTCAGAGCAGAGACACTGATTGAGGCACCGTTTGGTCGGTCGTAATAGCGACACCATTCCTGCAGTGCTAGCTCGATAGCTGTAGCCTCTTTGATGAATTCCGCAATGGTCGTTGGTGGATTGCGAAGAAGGCCGGCAAACAGCTGTTCTTTGACGCCTCGCATCTAATGGTGTAGTTTCTTGGCTTCGAACATGTCAGGGTCAGCCCGTCGAAATAGGCGGGTCATGTCCTCCGCAAACATGGTGACGCTCTCATTCGGTTTCTGAACGAGAAACTCGATGAGTTGCTGAGCAAAATCATGGTGGTCGTTGTTTGCCAAGGTGCTGAGAATCTGCTGCCGAAACATATCCCATGTAGACAGCGTTGCCTTGTGGTTCTCATACCACGTACGAGCGCTGCCCGCTAAAGCAAAGTAGGTGCGTGAAAGCTTTTGCTCGATGATCCAGTGGTTTTCCTTGGTGAGTCGCTCATACTGGGCTAACCAGTCCTCAACGTCTTCATAAGCCTCATCATGAAATGTCTTCGGAATCTGAGGCTGCTCAAAAGTCAGCGGGGAAGCACCTACAGGCTGCTCAAAAGTCAGCGGGGAAGCACATACAGTTGACATTTCTCTAGGCGGAGTGCGTTGCTGGGGTAGTTCCAGGGGAATCATCTCGGGACTAAGGCCTCGCCTTCAGCGACTATAATGGTGGACAGGGGTATCCACTGAAAGAACGGTTTGCGGTGTCGGATTTGAAATGCCGGGCCACAGAGGAGTCCTGAGCATCAGTGGTAGAAGTTCAGCACCTCTACCAGTGTCGCAACGTAGAAAGAACAGGATACAAGGCTTCGTTTCAACGAGAACAGCAAGGCTTTACGCACACAAGAACAAAACGCAAGAGCAGATACCCAATGTCGTCTTCCTCGAAAAACGCCAGAGACTGCCACTCGTGATGCTAGCTTCTTCCTCCCCTGTTGTGCTTGCGGCTAATAATCCTGACAATATAAAAACACATAATTGGTGCACGCCTGTTCTGTAGGCCAGTAAGGCAAATCTATTGTCACGGTTTTGGGTGCATTATCAAGTTAGTAGCGATACCAGAAGCTGTACTGATTGCAGATGTGAAGTATGAACGCGAACTGTCGATTTCGTGTGGCCTCCTAGTCATTGAAACATCGCTGTATGGCGTGTTGCGAATTACAATAACTAAAATCACTTGGTTAGACTTTTTGGTAACTTTAGAGAGCAGAAATGGTTGTGATGTACTAAGCACAGGTCCCGTAAAAAATAATTTATTGTACAATAATACTTGGCTGGCACTTGTTGATGACAAGGACGATGTGCCTGTCATCCTCATGTATTCTTCGCCCTGAGGTGTGCCCGTAACGACTTGGCGCTTGACTGTGGACCCTTGGGGTTTTATTCGCGCCATGCGTAGAGGTGGATCGATGCAGCCTCTGCCAGTCTTCAGCGAAGGTTTCACTAGACAGTAAATCCATGTGTCGAAGCGATCTGAAAAAGATGACATGGCATAAAATGTAACGTGCAGTAAAAGTAATAAAAATATGCTAACTTGGTGATGGGCGTAAATTTCAAGGATGTGTCTTGTAGAAAGACTGGTGAGCACGCTGGGCATGTACTTCCTTATTGTGTTGTAGGCTTGTGCTATATAGGATTCCGAACACGAGCAGGAAACGGTAATTTTTAAGCTACAATTATGGCGTAACTGAAGAATAGCGTGACTTTTTAAAACGGTAGGAAAAAGAAAGAAAAGCTAACCAGAACAAGTGCTATTTGGTTTTTGTCTTCGTCTTAAAAGCATCATTGTGTAAAGCGAATAATGCAGAACAAATGAGCCCAAGGAATGGTGCTGAGAATTAAATCATTATATAAGGGCATGCTTGCGCATACATAGAAACCTCCAGCAGGGTCTTTGCTCGAGCCTTGTCAGATTATATACGAGCTGAACAATTCAAATCAAAAGTATGCGTGTCGAGAATGAAAATTTCAACGATTATTTTATTGGCACACGTGCTATATAGCGGTCACAGATGTTTCAATGTTGTTAAATTGCCTTGTGATGCAGCTTTGAAATGTTCTTTGAATTTTGTGATCTGTGCACCAGTTCCTGACATGGCGCGAAAGATGTTTTGGAAACTGTAATGGCCTGAATGAAAGCATGCAGAATGCACTTGTGCAGACACACAAACACACACACACACAAACACAGACACAACTCGACTTTTCAAGGATATATAAAAACATACACCGAACATTTTCGTAATATCCGTATCTATGTCACATTTTAAGAAAAATTTAAGGTTTCAGAAAAAAATATTGTATACAAATTGCCAAAGCGCTATTGTTCCTGTATTTCATCAAACAATGTTTAACTTAAGTCGTATTCATGGTATGGTTCCAAAAGCTCCCACGTACATTTACAGCCCATATGAGAAAGAGAGCACGAAGAAAATTTCAATGACTACAGCACGGTATTGATATGTGAATGCTGATTTTCCAGTATTCTTGTCTTACAGAGCCCAAATAAGTGCAAGGTGGCATTGTTCAAGTAGTGCTGAATTAGTGTGAAACCAAGCTTTCATGGTTTTAGTAGTCTTGGAAATTTTTCGCAGCGTGAGTGATGCATGTACTGCTGCGGAATTTCGTGCGTCAGCACTTAGGAGTCAAAGCTTCTACCTGCGTTGGAGTGTTTAAGAAACAAGGGGTATAAGAAACATAGAGTATATCCCTCGAGGACAAAAGTACATCCTTCAGCAAGACTCTGCACCTTAACACACGCTTTACTGGCGCAGTACGCGAAACAATACATGATCATGTTTTGTTTTTTAAGAGGCCCGCCTCCCCCGATTATCTGTTGTGTGTAGGTTGTTGTGTAAAGGAAGTGGAACAAGAAAACGTACACTACAGAAGTAATTGTGAATGCGATGATCACCTCACTTTGACCTCCTATGCCAGATAATAAGAAAATTGTGGCGCAGTATCTCGTATCTGCTTTAAGTTAACCATTTTTTTAGGGAATCCCTCTGAGCAATGGGACCTTGGCCTTTTGTGTATGACATTTGTCTCATACATAGTGAATCTTGCTTAATATATGGCATCCTTTCCTTCGCTCAAGGATTTATTTAAAAACACCTTCACATTGCTTTTATACATCGGACAGCTGCACACATGACTGGATTGACAGCCCTAGTATTTGAGCATAAGGTGACTTGTTTCCGGACAGCTCTCGTCGCGGTGGCTCATGAGCGATATTTTTCTGTTGGTGAGCACAAAACCATATTGAACCGCAACGACTGCAGCCCGATCAGGAGACATATATAGGAGTACGCTCGTGCTCGCAGAGATGGGTGCTCGTTGAAACGACTGCAGCTGCTGAAAGTTAAGCACAACTTCTCTGTGGTGTTTCTAGTAACCTTGCCCTTCATGCTCTTAGTGAAGTTAAAAGGCTCTAATTATATGTAATTCAACCAGTTATTAAGCTTTCCGCCAGCAGCATCGTCTGTGAGTACAAGCAAAATTGTATATAAATGCTTCACGAGACAAACATTTCAGACGATCTTTCTTTGTAGTAATTTGGTTACGAAACAGCACTCGATATTTTAGGGCGTTAGATATTGAACCTAAACAATGGTAAGATGTAAAAGGACACTAATTCACGACCATACCGAAATACCCGACATGCTTGTGCCACAAAAACAGTTATTTCTTACCACTAATTTATCAATGGTAGCCACCTCCCTTGATCTTGATTATGCTGATTGTTCCACCATGGCCGCCTCCAAAGCCACCTCCACCGAAGCCACCCCCGTAACCACCTCCGAAGCCGCCACCGAAACCTCCTCCATGTCCGCCACCGAATCCGACCCCGCTATAGCCGATGAGCTGCCCGCCACTGTGCAGCTTGTTGATGTGATGAATCGTCTTGACTAGATATGATGGCCCAGCAACAATCTTGCCTCCTCCACCGAATCCTCCACCGAAGCCACCACCACCGAAACTTCCGAAGCCACCGCCACCGAAGCCCCCAAAGCCGCCGCCTCCGTGGCTGATGGCAACGCCCGTCACTGGAATGGCCTTAAAACCTCCGCCGTAGCCACCTCCAAATCCACCGCTGAATCCACCGCCAAAGCCACGACCACCAAATCCACCGAAACCACCGGCAAAGGCAACACCAGCTAGAGTTCCAAAGATGCAGGTGATCGTCTGCGAGGATCGTGACAAAATGTGCATCTGTAGACAGCATCTCAGAGGGATATGCTGCACTCGTATTCCGCGTCATACATCACAGGAAAGACAAGTTCACGCAGCTCTGTTTCTCTGTTCCTCACGTGATTACGTACTGCAGTTAAGAACAATTGCGCTCACAAAAAGATGCTACAAATGCTCTCAGCACAGAGAAAATGTCTTTGACAAAATACGCTGTTATGAAGCGTACATAAGCTCTTATAAGTAATTTTTTCCAGCCACTAGTATGAAATATTTTGTTCTATCACCATCAAGCTATGTTTATATGAAAATATCTTGATAGCTTCATTGCATTGATACACATGCGTACCACTGCATTGTTAAGAAAAGGGAAAGGTAACAAGAAGGTATAACTACTTCAACAACTTTAGAAACACTATCCAACAAGGCTAAATGGTTACGCTCTTACACTAACAAAACCACGACATTAATTGACTAACACTGACCAACCGTGCCGCACAATCTCGCATAGCGTCGCAAACCTTAACAAGCTGACAAAGTAATTACCGGAGGCAATTGAGATCCATCATAATGCACTCTTCGTTTTAGTCTCGTGTACAAGATTTTCCGCATCATACTGTATGACAATTTGCCAGTGGGCCTTTTTTTGCCGTTTTTGTCTTTGTACAAGCGCAACAGTTGCATCGAAATTGCCCAACACCCCAAAATTAGACCTGCAAGGCAAACCACGAGAATACAGCGTGTGGCCGGATGTGAAGGCGCGCGTTCCCGATGAATTTGTTTTGAGCGTTGCATACGTTTCCATAACGCCGCTGCTACTGCAATTGCGTAAAGCTCTTGCACCCAGCAAAACCGTGCGCACTCCGTAGAGTAATAGCGTCGAACGTATACAGCGCGTTCTGTTCTCGGCTTCACTTAACACGCGTACTAAGCGTTAAGAGCAGGCAGCGTGCAACACTTAGGCCACACATGCATATGCAGTGGGTATGCAGCGGCTTTGTGCTTGTGCATTTTACTCCGTTCTGGTTCAACCGCTACGTGATTCAAGGCGACGCCGCACGGAAGGAAAACGGAAGCAGAGCTAAAGCTGCTCCACGAAATGGCGCGCCGAACAATTAATCTCGTACCTCAATTTCGTGAAAAGCTATACTTGCACTTCCTATAAGGGTGCGACGCCAATATGCGTGCCGCCAAACGCCGTTGTTATAACGCGTCGTTATGGACGGAGTTGTGGCCGAGATGCACCTAATGGTGAGGTACACATTATTGAGGACGCTGCTGCATTGAGAAACACGGGCAGTTTACCTACATGATTCAGCTGCGTTGATAGTTACGCCGAAGTCATTAGTGGTATTGCCTTCCTTAAAACAATGTACCTTTTGTCCGTATCAGACAACTTACAATGCCGTACTTTCTTGCAGGAGTAGAACAAAACAAGGGAAGGCAATTTCTGTGTTAGACATATCATGCACTTGTGAAATAAGTCGTGCCTTGCTGTGTTATACGCTGCAAATACGATATATTAGTGGAATTGGGAAGAAAATAGATTAAAATGGAATCAACCACACTTTCTACATTTTTGCGCAAGAACATGTAGGCTTAACTACGCTAAATATTATGAAACTTTAGATAACGTAATTTGGGTGCAATACTTTCAGTATTACGAAGAAGCAGTATTGAAGTTTGAAAATTTGCGATCACTATTCTGCCCATTGGAACTGATGTTTTCTCGTATTTACAAGGATCACGGGTGGCCAGACAGGATTGGCTGTTGTTTTTAACAGCCGGAACTGCGACTTAAAGGTTGCAGCGATGAAACCCATGAAACGTTTGTAGCGAATGATTGTCTAAAGGCAAGACACAAATTGCGATGTCTTATACTGAAACTTTAGGCTACTTCGACATATTTGAAATGTTTCAGTGAAATGGTGTTCTTATCGTCAGACGTGGAATTCTGAACAATCAAGGCAACAAAACCTCCGGATAACTCGGTGTGCCACATCTCCATGTGAACTCATCAACTTCAATAACATTCACCAATTTTCTATCGTTTTTAACTTTATCCATAGAAACCATGATAAATTAGACATACTGATGATAAACTAAAAACGGAAAAAAATGAACGCAGTTTTCTTTTCTTTTACAAAAATGATTTTGTCAAACTGTCTATTCAAAGTCTCTTAAGCATCCCGTAACGTTTTTGATATAACCAGCCTACTGAAAAGACGAGAATCGCACTGCGAATGTTTGCGCAATTCTGCATGTACGAACAGTGTTTGTGTACGAAGCAGCTGCAGCTAACACGAGCCAACTGAAAGAAGCCTGATCTCGAGGCACACGCATGCCGCTTTCAAACCAACCATGCCTGTTCTTACCAGAGCCTTCATACTGCGCGCGTGCGAACCGTTCATACTGGAGACGACTAGCGCTCTCCGGATGAGCAGGTGCGGTTTTTATACGGCTGGCGAACCAGATCCTCTTCATGGTTCATTTTCTTTCTACCGATCCTTGTTTTGAATAACGGTGGCTCTTTGTCAATTCCCTTGCCCCGCGTGTCCGCACGGGGTCCCGCGCCGACTCTCTCGCCATCAACGCAGGTCTCGGCTTCCGTCGAAGGTGCTTCTCTCTGCACGGATGAGCGTCTTTGAGACTTCCTTCTTGCCGGGAAGATGATGCGCGGCTCTATACGCTCACAGTTGTCCGGGAGAGGCGCCTGCGTCGCGGTGCGGGCGAGAGCAAAGTGCGGAAGCTCGCGTTACTGCCTCACCTCCGACGCGTGCACTGCCGCTGCTACCATCACCATACACGCATTCATAAAACAGAACCGGCTTGGCAGCACGCGGTGCGTCTCCGTTGCCATTTATTCCTCTGCCGCGATTTCTTTTCATTTTTTTATCAGTGCAACTCATGCGGTGCTTTCGATTTTCAACAAGTATACACGTGCCCGTGAGGCGAAGGTGGTGTCCGGAACTCGAGAGCGAGCAGCCTGAATGTGTCCGCACCCGCCCAACAGTCGGCCGAACCACTGTTGCAGCTTTGTATTTGTGCTTTACTTCCATATTGCCCTATGTTTATTGCCAGGTCCTATAGATGCCATATAGGGCACGGGGTGTGGCATCCAGTGTGCTCGGCGTCCATCTTCCTATGTCTCTGTTCCCAGAGTTCTCTGTCAACTCTGTTATTCATTGCAGCGGCCTTTCACTGTCGCACTCAAATGATGTGGCCAATTGTTGCGCCTACACCACTGACTTCAATTATCGTTGTTATCATCTTGTCCTGTTTTTCTCGTTTACCAAATGTGACGCAACTTAGAACAGCACATATGAAAGGAGAAAGAGGTGTATCTTTAATATGATGAAGTGGCTGCACGCAAGCCTAAATGGCGCACGTCGCACCCCTCACGCCCCTGGCTATTTCATTCTATAATTGAACCGTCCTAGTTACGAGCTCTCGGTAAGTGCCTCGGGACACGGGATAGCACGGTGTTGGTAGCCCAAGTTCATTTGTCCTACCACCACCCGCTCTGTTGATCTATTTTGCAGTGCTTCTTCTTGGTTGCATTCACCCTGCCTTCGGTAGCAACTACAAAACCCTCTCGGGTCTCAGAATGCCTTTTTTGGCATCTATGGAGAGTGGCGGGGCTGAAGGAAGCGGCGTCGGTAGCGTAGCTACGTTCTATAAGGAGCGCCGCGCAGAATTGCATGCACGCAGAATGGGCGTCTCGTGCATCTAGGAAGTGTGAGAACTCCGCACACATGTTTGTTGCGCAGTGTGCACGCATAATTGTAGCCGCTATCGAGACCGTGTGACATCCTGGAAAGCTATGGGCGTGTAGAATAAGCGATTTACGATAGCCAATGGGCCCAGACGAAGTGGTGGTGAATGGCGACCAGTGCTTCTTATGCTGATTGATTATGAGAACACTATCTAGGGACGAGCTAGAACGAGAGTGATAAGTAGCGGTTCGCCACTATTACGTCTAACATCTTGTCTGGGTTATGTTATTCTGCCATTGCGGACTTTGCTCACTTTTTAAGGTGGCTGCAGACGATTCCTATCAAAAGGATCCCTTGCTTTCGTTCAGAGTAAAATCACTCTTGGGTAGAGAGTTCGCCGCCTGCAGGAACTAATCATAGTTACATCATTTTTATATTTTACTGCTGTGCTGTGAACCACAACGCAGCAAAGACTTCGTTACACTGACTAAAAAGTTTGTCATTTTCCCACTCCTACACTTTAGACGCATTTGGCGTGGCCGCGGTGCCTTGGTATATAGCTGTAGAATACTCAGTGGTTAGAATAGCCAGCATAGTTGTGCAATGACCACGGGATCTCTCATGCCACTTCACTTGTCAAATGAAGTGCCAGCCTTTCCAGTAGCAGTATTCACACCCAATATAGTCGAAATCCATGAGGTTGAAGGGAAAACTACGAAACAGTTTGGCTGTTAATGACCAAACATGTATGTATCCAGTGGCCTCAGGGTACGCATACTCGCATTTGTAGCCATTTATAATCCGACAGTTCCAATTGTGGAGGCATTCCTTTATTCAAGTCTATTCCTTCTTGAAACGCTATTGCATACAGCAGCAGGAAAATTACGATGCATTATGCATAAAGCAGAACGATTTTTCATATGTGTAATTAGATAGTGGCTATCTTTTATTAACAGAAAGTTTCACTTTTTGTCTCTTGATCTTGCTTAAGTTATACCTTATTTTTCTTTTCATTTATGTTTAGTTTATTGTCTAGGTCCCCTACAACTGCCCTGAGTGAAATAAACAAAGATAAGATGCACAATCAGCGCTTTGATCGTGCCCTGTTTTATGTTTTTTTTTCGTGCTCTTTTCCGAGTTTCTTGCGACGTTCGATATATGTGTGCCACCAAGTCTAAATAAAACATATTTTACCGGATAATGAGTTGCTTGTGACATTCTACACCTATATCAAAGTAAATTTTCAGCATATCAGGGGAGTCGATGGTACCTTAATGAGGGGGCACCTTCACAGGTGTAAAGGCCGATACATGCAGCTTTTCAAGTGACTTCAGCAATGAATTCTACGTTGGTATGTGTTAAGATGACAGTGATGGGCATTGGTAAGCATGGCATTTCCTACATAATTGATTATGTTCTCGATGGATAGGGCGCTACCCCATAGCAGGCAGAATGCTTCTTCGCGGTAATAAAGTGTGCTTTTCTTTCTTCGCTATTGTGCAACGCTCGGCACCGTCCACGAGCTCGCATGGGCATATAAGTGAAAAAAAGAACGCTCATGGCACTGGGGAGTGAAGAAATAGCGAGTAGCAAATTTATGGTAAAAAAAATAAAGGAAACTGATTGTTACTCCGCAGCTTGCACTGAGGCCGTGTTGAACTTAAAGTTCTGAGGCAATGAAAACGTTTTTCCCCCACCGGAAGTATTTATGAACTTTTAGGAAGTATAGAAGTGTTTAGAGTATCTGTAAAGTCAGCTGAACTCGATCTTTGCGATTAAAAAAAGTGTAGAACAATTACGCACACGTGTGCTCTCAAAATCCTTACGTCGACAGGTGTCTAGACATGACCAAAATAGAATTGCCTTCAAAGGAACGCCCTGCGTCTGCAGAAAGAGAACAAGTGCATAGAGGGAGTTGCATGAGATGAATGGCAAAACACACATCTCCGCACGCAGCACGGCTGGTTATTACCGGGGAGTGGGTGGCGACCGGCACGCACCTGAAATAGCCAACCTACGCGGACACCAGGGCAAAAAAAAAAAACGTGCCTCATGTGCGCGGGCGAGATGTGAATCTCCCAAGGTGGACGTCGACGCTGCACCACCAGTAATGCCGCAGTGAACGTAAGAATTGATACGAGAAAAACACTGGCCAGTTCAAACATTTGCTCGTCCCCTATGAACAATGGGCTATCGTTCTTGTGGTTAAAAGCTGAAGCTAAGAATAGTGCCTACATACACGAGTTGCAAGATTGCGGCCTCTTATGGGGTAGTGTCTGCGAATACTGAGTTTTTTTTTCGAGCGCTTTGCGTTATCCTCTAAAATAAGTGAAAGAATAAAAAAAGCAAATATTGCTTCCTTTCACAGGCAATCAGATGACGCCCGAAGATGCTTCACTCAAATGACTTTCCACTTGGAGCATCACTGTGTGAGCTTTGAAAGTTTGACTCCTCCCCACTTTTCTACTTAGCAATTGGAAAGCAGCAGTAATCTTAGCACGACCCCTGCGTCTTATCTGGGAGTTGGACAGTTATAGCGAGTCTAAATAAGACATCAGCTGCAGTAGTTTCCGCTGTTACCTGAGGTTACTTCAGCGTTGTTCTGTCATCGTACAAAATTATCGCACAAAAACTTACGTAGGATTACTGAGGAGTTGTCACAGAGACAGAAAGGACTGCATTACAAACTTGCTTGAATGCATTATCGGAAACAGCGCTGCACTTCTTTCTTAAGCAGATCAAGCTACTTGTTTCTCTCAGCCACTCACACAACGCATTCACTGTGAAAAAATTTCCGTCACTGGTTCACTCACTCATTTTAATTATTGCACAAAGGCTGTCTAGCTTTGCTTAGGCGACAGAATGACTCTGTATGAAAGCGACGAAGCCTTCTGGAAATAACGAAATCTTGACGGCCACAGAAAATCAGCAATGGAGACTCCTGAAAAAGACTGATAATCGAACGACGAGGAACAACATCGCGGCAAAGTAGACCAGTCACAAAAGGTGCCTCCGAGCTGCTGCTTATATTACCAAGAAATATATTTGAGTAGTCTGTGCAACGTTATCAGTTCTTTCCAACAAAAGAAGTTGGAGCAAAAAAAAAAAAAACTACTGAAATCATATGTCTCGAAATTGCCTTTTCGAAAATGGACACCATCCCCGTTAGGAATGGTGTAAGGAACATGCAAACAAGTTTTTGTTATGTTGATGATCTAAACAAAGATTACGAAGGACGCTTCAGTGTTCACATCACTTCACATCACTTTACAGCAAATTCAGGGAATTTCGGGAATGTATTTTATCGCTGGAGCTCGTTCAAACCAAAGCACGAGGTTAAGCTGCATGTACTGTGTCGCAATAAGGGCTTCTCGTCAAAATGTTCTCTCTTTAATAAAGACGTATCAGTGTAAAAAGTTAGCTATTTTGTAATAATTGTAATAGGTGTGTGTCCTGGACGTTGGTGTGCTTGCGAATGTTTAATTTTAGAAACTTCGAGGCTTTACTGTGCTCTTGGAAAAAACAAACTCGGAACAAGAAAATTCAGTAGAATGTATTGATGCCTGAGTTCCACTTTTTTTACGGTAACGCAAACAAACTTTTAAAAAAAAGTTGAATGTGTTGATGACATCGAGAATGGAGGTGTGCTGATATGAAGCGTACAGGATGTTTAGAGAGGCCTAACCAAAATGAAAGATTCCAGGTAAACTCACCGATTGGCTGACAGACGATAAGTTTGCCAATTTGTTCTGCATCAAACACAGCTGCCCGCAAATTTATTTGTTGCCTTTATAACGTATAATGAAGGCGGAGTGTTTTCGAATAAATAAAAAATATGTATCTTTCCTAAGTAAGTCATGACGAGTGGATGAAGCAGTGGACACCGTTGTTAGCGTAAATCAATTGTGACATTTCTCACTCGCACATATCAATGAGTGGCAACGTGCGTGTACAGTAAAGACAATGTGCTTTGGCTGTTGAGTGGCCGCTTCCCGCGCCCTTAACTCCGGAGTAGCAGCTTGTTGCTGGCGTTGCCGTTTTGTAGCTGCTTCCTGAGCTCTCGCTTCCGGGGTAGCTTGCTGTTAGACGTTGAACCGCCGCATGACGCGCTCTCGCCTTGGGAGTGCACGCATCTTGTTGTCGGCGTTGCCACTTTGGCTTTCGCGGGCGAGAGCGCTTTCACAATCACTTCCATCTGGAGTGAAAAGAGGATGTGTGGTCCGAAACGCACTTATTCTTCATCGTCATCAGCATCATCGCCATCGTCATGACGTATAGTGGGTGCCTTGCATGTGCTGTATCGGGATGACAGAAAGAGAATGCGTGGTCTGGAACGTGCTTATTCATCATCGTCATCTACGTTTTTGGCATCCCTGGATAACAGACAACGGACAACGGACAAGCCTAGACTCTAAGCTGCTTCGCCGCTAAAAATCTCCACGCCTGCACGAAACACGCCACACAGTTACAGTGAAAGTTCGAAAAGCGGCTTTTATAGAGCCCTTTTAAAACTCTCTTGGGACAACTAATACAAGTATACACGTTCAAGGCACCCACCGCTCTATAAATCATCGTAACTTTAACCAAGTAGGCAAACATATAATATGCCATTAATCGTCATTCTGCAGAGAGGTGTCGTACCCGCCACAGATCTGTAAGGCATTATGTGCGCTTTGTTTGTGCTGTGGCTGATGAGAATAAATACTTATGGCGGAGCCTTTGGTAATTGCTTAGAAGCAATCAGCAACCTAGCCGTTGCGCAATTCGCATTGTGGGATGCCTGGCTAGTCTTTTAATCTACTACGACACAATATTGCGTGCTAACATGATGCTTCCACAATTTGACACTTGTACAAGGAATTATTGAGAAGAATTTCCAGGACCCAGCTTTGCTCTTTTGTATAATACTCGACTTCCATGCAGAGGACCCGGCACGAAATTTCTTCCGTTCCTGGAAATTTTCTTTCTGACTTCATTTTTTTTTTGTTTCGCGTGAGAGTTGTAATATGGACACCGGCGCATGAAGCACCGGTAGCGGGCAGCTATATACTGCGCCAAAATCGGCTCTGGTTGTGATCTCGTAACGGCTTCCGCGATAACATATATAAAGGCCCAAAGACCATAACTGTCATCAGAGCTATGGCCGAGAGCACTGAGGGGCATTTGTTGGGTAAGTAGTGAGTGAAACCAAAGAATCCCGCGCAGTATATCTGTCGCCCAAGTTGACGCCTTCACTTGATCTTGAAAAGCGAGAGAAAACTTTTTAGATTTTGCGTTACCAGAATAAAAATATTCCATATGTTTCGCTGCGTTGTCAACATATCTTGATGTATAACCGGGTTGCCTGCAGCGACCGTGAGAAAATACATCACGCTTTGGCTTCGCAAAGCTGCTTACAAACGAAGAAAAAAAGAAGAAATACTATGAGAAGCGAAGTTTATTGCACACGACGTACATGCGCCATTTTTTTAGTGTACTATTATTATTGCGCCCCACTTGTTGAGCTGCGTGATTGCACCGACCACTATCGATAACTGATGATGATTGATGTGTGCCCTTTCACCACAATGAGCTCGCTCTGTCAGTTGGCTTGTCTTCCGGTGTTGAGCTAAGAGTTTGCGGAAAGTCGTAACCTGTCACAGTAAAACAAAAAGAAACACTTTGCATGAACATTCACATATTTACATTTATAATTGACCCGATTATAATACAGTTAGCAATGAACCGTCGTTGGCGGAAAAGTTCGTGCACAAACACACGCGCTCCCCTGTAATATAGAAAGACGCTAATTACGCAATACTGTGGTATATTCTACTTCATTTTTTTATTTCACCCTCTTGCCCACAGACCTTCTCCAATTTATAGTCATGACTTGTGTACATGAGGGGCAGAGTTTTTTTTTAATTTCACCCGTACTATATTTTGGTTTATTCTTTTGTTTTGTCCGCAAGTACAAAACACAATCTGACTGGTGGACTTGTGGCTACTGCATATATGGATGCCTGGGACAGCAAACCGACACAAGCATACAGAAATGTGTCCTGTGTCGTCTCTTTGGGCTAAACGCACAAGAAAGAGTCTGTGAAATTTGAATTGCTGCATCTTTGTTTTGCAGCTTTATAATGAACTCGCACCACAAAGACTGTCTTTGAGACATCTCTTTTTTTTCTTTTGCATACTTGCAGGTAACTTAAACCGTATGGTCATGTTGCTAGAGCGACCTGAAATGAAGTCCATGAGATGTGCAGCCGTCAGCATCTTTACCTTGAACGTTCTGATGCGTGGCCTCAGCTCGCTTGAACTGAGGTACACGCTGCCAAGCGAGGAAATGATATGCTTGCTGCAGTTAATGGTACAGATGTAGCGGCCATCAGTTTCCCTATGAAATTTCTATTTCCAGTCTGCCTGACCGGCGGGTCAAATGCACTTCCTTCGCATCCCGTTTTCGTCACGTTCCACTCGGCTACGTTATCGCGCGTACCCATGGCGTTGGTTGTTAGATATTTACCTCGACGACGAACGATTACATGCGACAGCTTACGCACCTTATGAGTTTGCATTCGCAGCAAAGAATCACATGTATAAAAAGCTCAGCAAACACACATTCATGGCGTTTGTAAAGGTTGCACAATAAATAAATCCTAAGTGCGGTGACTTTGTTCATGTTCTGAATTAATAATTTTCAGACAGCGTGATTTGAACTGTTCTCGCAAATCAGAATGTGCACTTTTGTTCGGTTCACGGTGCACGATCCGATGTGATCTTGGTACGCAAAGTTTGTGCGCGTTCTCCTCAAGAAAGACGCATGGAAGCAATGCCAACAAAGCAATTTTCGTGCGTAGTTATGGCATAAAAGCTTAAATTGCCATCATATCTCATGATCAAGTCCTGCTTCTGGGACGTTAAACCACAGATATTATGACCCGCACAAGTGTTGCTTTTCAAGACCACATCTTCCGTGCAGTGCGAGCCAAGCAGGAAGGCACACTCCAAATTGCGAGAACAGTTCACGCTGACTGAAAATTATTGAGTCAGAACATGAACAATGCCAGTCCAATTCAGATTTATTCAGCAATCTGTACAAACGCCATGAACGTGTGCTTGCTCTGCTATTAGATGCGGAAGCATCTTATACTCGCGCCTTGTAGTGCGCCGTCCGCACCGCTTCTCGAACATTCGACAGCTGACGCGCGCGCATGCGCCGTCGCGCCGTCGCCAACTCTTCCACCATCTGTGCATCCCTTCCTCCTCTACGCACCGCGCGCGCTTCACTCCTCCACCATCTGTGCACCCTTCCTCCTCTACACACCGCGTTCGACATCTACAATTCTCCTGATTCTCCAGTGGACGCGCATGTGGCGTCGCGCTTCGAGAACATTCAACAGCTGACAGCGCATGCGCCGTCGCGCTGTATATATACTCAAGGTCGGCGCTCGCTCGCTCAGTTGCCGCTCGTCGGTTGGTTTGTACGGCGCGTCGACGTCCAAGGTCGCGGTGAAATGAATTCCAACGAATCCACAAACACAATGATCGACGTCCCTTCGACCAGCGCCACCCTTTCGCATACGTGTGTACGTGTTCACTCATGTAACACCCCCTCCTACAACCACGTTAACCAATTTAGCCATTGACCCAAGTAAGTCGCAATTTAACACCCCATTTCACAACCACGTTAACCAATTTAGCCATCGACCCAAGTAAGTCGCACTTTAACACCCCGTTAACCAATTATATGCTCCGCATCCTCCTCAGTGTTCCCCCGAGGGAAGCTGCGGGCAATTTTTTATACACGTGATTCCTTTTGAGCAGCAGCTGCGAATTCAAACTTGAAAGGTGCGCAAGCTGTCGTACGCAATGGTTCATGGTCGAGGTAAGTGCACGACAACGAACGCCATGGGTGCGCGCGAAAACGAAATCACGAGCGAAACGTGGCAAGAATGGGAATCGAAGTGAATGCGTTCGACCCGCCGGTCAGGCAGCCTGGAAACAGAAATTTACTAGTGAGACCAACGCGCGCTACGTCTATCCTCAACTGCAGCAAGCATATAGTTTTCAGCGCTTAGTGGCGCTTATACCTCAGTCCAAGCGAGCCGAAGCTACGTGTCGGAGCGTTAGAGTTAAATGTGCTGACGGCTGTACATTTGCTGGTGGTGGTTTCGGGGTTAATTGCCGCCTTTATCGCAACAGCTTGCCGAATGCAATTGCTTACTTTTCCTTCTAATATTTGTGAGAAAGACTGTGTTGGTAACGCGTGTTATGAGCCAGCCCACTTGGCAAATTTGGTCACCACAACTCCTTAGCATCACATTTCTCTAGCCTATTTCATGATGTATGTCTTTTGATGAATGTCTTTTGCTGTTTTAAGTTTATGATCGAAATTATTTCTAGACACTACTGGGAAGTGAGACCTCTTAGAATAAGCGTAGCCAGTAGTGACAAGTCGGTAGGTATGAAAAGTGTCTCTTAATCGTTATTCCCTGTGACCTCTTTCTTTTTCATGTTTTAGCGAAAACGATGCTGCGTAGTCCTTTTTGAAAAAAAGGTATTTGCAGAATGAAAATAAAATGCTAATACATTGAAGTTTAATTATAAGTGCATTATATTATATGACTTTCACTTACGTTGGATATGCTTACCCGGCAATGGCTTTCCATGTAAGCACGAAATATCACCAAGCATCTCCGTGCAAGTGCCCTCCATGATGTAGCTTGCTCACGTGATGAACAGTTTTGACGAGGAAAGAAGGTCCGGGCACCTCCTTATGATATCCGTAGTGGTCGTGGTCACTGTAGCCATAGTAGCCGTGGTCGTCGTAGCCGAAGTCATGAATGACTCCAGCCAATGCTAGGCCGATGAAATGGACTAACACGCACACAATCATCTGAAAAGAGAGAGAGAAAAAACGCCCCCAATGTCATTTTCTTTGAAGTACACATATAGGCGTGCGCAAAGCAGACCAGTCCAACTTTCAGTGTAGCTAGGCCCCCCTCTCCCTATATCTTCTCCACTGTATTGGTCGAGTTCTAAAGAAAACAAGTCTTGCAATGCATGCAAAAACGAAAATGAAGTGATGACGGGCTTCTAGCAACAGCCTGCCTTCTGTCCTGGCTTTCCCTATGTTCACATGGGAAGTCAGCAAGTCTCGGAATGAAAAATAAGAAGTCCCCAGGCACTATAAATGACAAAAATCTACGTGGTCATAATAATGAGCTTTACACAACGACATAATTGGTCCGAATGAGTAAAGGTATAGGCGGCAGACTTGGAACTCTCTCAGATAGCTATGGGGAGAAAGGGTAAAGCGTCTGACCTTTGCTACAATTGCCCTATTTCATTTATCAACGTCTGCTTATTGCACATACACTTCACTGCCTTGACATATGAGGTTATAGTGTGTGTTACAAAACAGCACAGGATATGGGCTCCAAATAACGAAATAACCTTGCCATCGTCACATGTTGCTCTCTCTTTATATATATATATAATATATATATATATATATATATATATATATATATATATATATATATATATATATATATATATATATATATATATATATATATATATATATATATATATATATATATATATATATATATATATATATATATATATATATATATATATATATATATATATATATATATATATATATATATATGCCGAGTAGGAAGGATGAGATCCAAGATCCACTGGCAATTTGTGCTTGTGCTGGGCTATAACATGATAACATTCCTCGTCTGGCATTTGAGTGCGTGTCTTGACTTACCGACTTACGTTAAATCTATGGATTGACATTATTACGAAAATGTTTTCGGAACACACTCGCAGCTTCTTTTGAGGCATAACAAGGTCTGTTCACTGAGCGTAAGTCAAAGTAGATGGCCGTTCCACTGTGAAACGAGTAAGGTGTGGAATACGGGAGGAACCATTAGCTCACACGTGCAAGCGTGGTATACTTTTTTCGCGATAAGCGCATAAGCATCGGCTTCGATGGATATCGCCTATTTTCTTCTGTGATTAAGATAAAATGATTTAACAATTAGTCGTTAATTATCTGTACTGCAGCTGTATTATTGTTTTATCTGCATGAGCTGCAAATGCCGTTACAGTCGAGTTAGGCGACGAGTGACTTTTCCATTCACCGACCATGGAATCAAACAACCTAAACTGTCGCACTTTTGACATTACGATACGCTTTTCTTATATCAAGATTATTTGTAAGCGGAGCACATTATTTTATGGAACATGCATGCCGCTACACAATAACATGTTTTACACTAACAATACCACATTTTGGACGTTGCGGTAGGTATGTATTAGCGATGCCAACTTGCCGACACCCACAAAATGCACAAACCTATGAATTTCAACAGTTACTTACAGCGTGTTATTTAGCACCATCAGTGCTCGCTTTAGCACACGTGTATTTGCAAAATAGATGCAAAGTAATATTATGCAACGCACTAACACTCCTGCCTCATCAGTTTTTCTTATGAAATTGTCTAGGCTATCTTGTTATTGAAAATTAAAAAAAAAACTCTTCATGCTTTAGACGAGGTGTCGGCAATCTTTTAATGCAGAGGGCCAAGTTGCATGACCCTGAGACAGCGGGTGGCTGGGTGGCAATTCAGGCGAGGGAGTTGGGGGAGTATGAAAATTTGACGTAATGACACTAATTAGAAAAAAAAATGAATGACTGATCACGTTTATTTTATACATGCATGTAACCAAGTCACTACCAAACATTGGTTGTGGGCGTAAACCCATTTTTTTTCGGTCAAAACTGTCGTGTCGGCCTTGAGATAGGAAGCGACAAGGGAATGGGGGAAGGAGGTAGGGGGTTGACGTCGTGCCTGAGGCCGCATAATACTGCTATGCGGGCCATATGCAGCTCACGAGCCACAGGTTAGTGACCTAGGCCTTAGACAAAAAGTTAAAGAAACTTCAAAATTAACTGCAGCGGTTCTGTTCCATTAAACATATGTTAATGTGTAGGGCAAAATAGAGGCAAAGAAATTGGATACTGAACGGGAAGCGCATGCAGCTAATATGGTGGTCTCTATAGGACGACCGGCGCGTGGCAGGAAAGTGACCTCGAAACAAAACCGTTCGTGCGCGGCGCCAACACGTGTGCCTAAACGCGAGGCGCGTGGATGCTCCATTTTAGCTCCCATAGACCGGTGAGGAAACTTTCGTCTCGAAGACTGGCCGTGCACCGTGGTGCTCACGCTTAGTTTGCCGCTTTATTGAGCCGTGCATGCGTATCGGCGCCGGCCTAAAACGGGGCCCTGCTAATGGTTGCCGTAACGAGCACATTTAATTTAGTAACAGCGACGGCACGCCGCTAAATGCCGATTCGGTAAGAAGAACCTGTGTTACTATCTGTTTTAACGCGATCACCAAGTTAAAGCGTCTGGCTCGAGCTGTTGTTTTCTCGGGCAATGTGGGACGTTCTCAGCAGAATGTGTATATTAAGAAGCTGGGAAAGTCCATTCAGTCTCTTTAGCCTTCTCTTTCTTATGGTTCCTAATACACGCGGCGTTTATGCAAGCGCTTGAACAGAAAGCTATTCGCTGAACCGGAAGCTTGTTTTGGAATGCTAGGCAGATGAGCACACTTTATGCATATATATTGTGTTGCACACTGTGTTACTTTGACAATTTATTTGCACAGTTGAGAAACAGCTCCAAAAAGTAGCGTACATAAATGGCTGTTGTGTGCCAGCAATAGCCAATTAGTCATTACAATATAGATTTTTATCGACTATGAATGCTCTTTTTTGTGAGCGCGTTGGAGTTCGCTTCGAAGTTTTCTGTCGTGTCGAAGGCGGTCGCGTTTGTCCCTGAGGTACGTAACGTGAAGTGGGAGGAAAGACAAACTTGTTTCCGCTATGTTTAGTTTTGCACTGCCTCTTTTTTTCTGCGGAAGTGCGTTGTGTTGGCATTGTTTCTAAACCCTTTGCCATTGCCCATGTAGTAGAGGCCAAAAACGTCAACAGGAGTGGCAGCTAGGCGGAATATGTTTGAACATTCGCATTGGGGCAACCATTAAGTACCCACATGTGAAACCTACGCGAAGTACTCACTGAATTATAAAGAAGTTGGTCACACGCTCTTTGGAAATCTATTGTAGCGAAGCTCTCTCAGGAGCTCGTAAGGAACGCCGTTGTTGCTTGTTGAAAAGGATAAAATCTGGAGGAAAGGTAGGGGCATTGGCGAGTTGGATAGATATTTGCAAAACAATACCTCACTCACCATAACTATAGAACAAGTGAATAGCACGATAACAAGTATAGATAAACTGACGGCAAACTAATGACAATAGAGCATCTATACTCTAAAGCAGGGGTCTAAAATATGCGGCCTGCGAACGTTTTGTTTTTGGCCCGCGGCCACACATGACTGTCTTTGTCCCACATATTTTTATTCCCTTATTAACTTTGCATGGGTACTACATTGGCATCTTTGGTCTGAAGCATTGTTGTTTTGATGCATCTCATGTGATCACCCCGTGGTGAAGCATCACCACGAAGAAAAAATTGCGTTTATGAATCGGCATCCAGAGTTTATGGCCACTTAGACTAGTGCTATTGACATGCTGAGGTTCTGACTTGAAATCTCGTAAAAGAATGACCCATGTATGAGATTTGATTTTTTGAAGTGGTAACGTTAGCAGACAATCTTTCAGCTGACGCTACCATTACCCCCCCCCCCCCCCCTGCTCGCGATCACCTCCATCTTTGTCCTGGGCCCTGTGGGGTTAAATTGCGTCAGTGCAACCCGGTGGCTGAGGTGAGTTTGATACTCCTGCTGAATAGTCTGCAGATTAAACTGTGAAGTCAGCGGCATGACACTTCAACGGCAGCAATGAAACGCCAAAGGTGGCACGAGGACAATCGGATGTTGACATAGCTCTTTTTGAATGTTGAAAGTACCCTCCCAGGAAATGTCGTCTTGCCTTGTGCTATAAGTGTGTATTTCATGCTAGTACCAATCAAATTTGCACGATAAATATAACTCAGATTAAAAACAAAGTAGAATGAAAAAGGGACGGAAAATAGTGGAAGCGCTTGAATTTCATTACAGGCTGAAAATGGCGCATCAATCGCGTTAACGAAAAAAGAAATGACTAATGCCTGAGTACCACGCACACCTTAAGTAAGAGTTGAGTATTGATGAAGATATGCATGCTCACCATGCATGCGAATGAGGGCTCGTCTGATACGTACCCATTTGTTATTGTGGTTAATTACTTCATGTAAGTTACTTGCTCACGTTTCGTTTAGCAAACTGACGGCACGCGGCATGAAAATGCCACGTGCCGTCCTTAAGCTGCACGCTAAGTGTCAGGTTTTGGTCAAGATGCATAGATGTCACAAACTATTTCCGTGGCGGTTAGCAACATCAGTGTCCTAACACAACATGAAGACAAGAAGTAATTTCTTAGGAACGTTTGAGCCTTTGGATATATAACCAATGAAACCAAAAGTATTTGTTGCCCGTCTAAAACCATGAAATTATTCGGGCAACTAAACGGGGCAGGTGACCTGTGTTACTCACCAGTACGTTCATGTTGACTAGGATAGGCGAACCGTTGATACGGGGCGCAGAATGGCGCCTGTTGCTGGAGCCATGGCCACTTTTATACCGTGTCCTCAGTTCTGCACAAGCTTTCCCGTACGTCATAGATTTGAGTGAAGCTTTGTGGTGGTGAGTCAACTTGGCTGTGGCTGCCTGCTGAGATAGATTCGACTCATACTCTCATGAGCGTTAACTTTGCAAGTAGATAGACATCATTCCTTTTTCCGAGCTCACCAGTGCTCCTTCATATACACTGCGGTGATTATTATACTGCTAGGCGGGGCCACAAGAAGTAAACACTAAATCAAAGTAATCGCATCTATCACTTTCGCCGCTCTGCGGACTGCCTAGATTGGCTGCGAGATATCCATCGTTCGGTCTGCATCCACGAAAATAGAACTCCGCTGCGTGACTATTCTTCTCTGCACGCCAATTCGTGGGCGCACTGAGAAACAACGTTCACTTTTACCAAGATCCATTTAGCATAACAGATAACGAAGCTTCCTGTTATATAGCCGTACGTTTAAGATAAAGTATCAACAAAAATACTGTGAATTTAATATAAAATAAAACCAGAGTATCGCAGCCCTATCAGCTGATTAATAAACTTACGACGCGAGTTTGCGCATGATTGTACCGAATATTATCGTGATTTTACGGGTTCGGGCTCACACATTTTGTTCATTTTACTACTCGTATGATGGTTGCGTGACTCAATGATGACAATGTGTGCACCCCTTACTCACGTATACCTCTGAGCGAACTTGTGTACTCGTAAACTTCAGTCAACAGCTGCAGAAAGGAGGACGTTATCTGACTACTTCAACGCTGTTTGCGTTTGTTCTTCCTGTTCTTTTTTTTCGAATAATAAAATAATATGTACATGTGTTTGGTTCAATCCACTTATAAGTAGTGATTACACTCGAAGTGCTTTAACCAGCATGGTGCATTTCTCTGGTTATTTTGAGGTGCCGTACTGCATGGACCTCGAGCTGAATGCCGAGTTTGCGGCGTATCAACTGAAAGGTAAACTATGTGCGGTAAGTTTCTCCATACAGTTGTTTTCCGAAGGTACACAGTTATTGCTTATACACTGTGTGCATACAACCGGATTCCACCTTTACCCCACTTCTCTTTCTCTCTCTCAAATGCCCACAGCCGTTTTGTTTTTCTCGAAACAATTTCCTCATACATGAGAAAGTTGAAGGTGAAAAGTGAATGTGGTTCTGTTCTTTTAATGATTCGCTGTATAGATGAAAAGATTGAGGTAAAAAGTACCTAGGTTGTTGTATTCATTTACGTTATTCTGCAAAAATAAAGAAATGACAAATCATTGAGGCTGCAAAGAAAAATAAATTTATAAAAAAACGAAATGAAGTAACTAAAGCCAACAACATGAGCAGGTAAGTTCATGGATGGGAGTTCACTGTTTACTGCCAAATTCACAACCTTCCGATCAATTCTTACGCCGAGTGAAGTTGGTGCTTCAGTATTGAAAGCCATGGTGTGCTACTACGGTGCGTAAAAACATAGCTTATTGAGGCAATCTGGGGCCTTCGCGCTTTTGCTCAGAGTGCAAGTTCTTACATGCGCCAGCGTCGAACGATAACTGGTACGTGCCTTTATTCACAGCGTAGCTTAATAAAATGCGTTCACCACCACTGGAAATATGCAGTAATGTGAATAGACAGTGAACGAAGGTTCACACGGGATATTTCAAGCACGACATACGTGTTGTCCCGCAGTCGGATTTTCTGAGCGAACATGTTTCGAACGACGCACTGTACTGTACTATACCCAGTGGCTCCGTGCCATTCTGATTATCCCACGCACCTGCTGCTCTCACGGAGGGAACACCTTTAGCCTAATAACGAAGCACAGAAGAAAATAGAAACTTCTTCCACCGGTTGCTTTACAAGCAGCATCCACTCGCAGGTCTCTTTTTTGCATAATGTCGCTTTCTTTTTCTTCCTTTCGCTCCACTGAACAGAACAACCCGTGCTCAGTCTTCGTGATGGCAGCGCTTCCTCGTTGTAACTTAGTCCAGTGAGAAAAGATATAAATATCCACAGCAGAGGACCTTGATATATTCGTTTATCCGGGACCCCCCCCCCCCCCCCCCCTGCCGAGACGTTGTTGTCTGGATGCCTGCCATCACCGGGATTCATTGACCCACGGCTTGTACATAGTCAGCGCTGATTGTGGGTACACGCGAAGTGTGACAAGGCCGCCTCTCGTACACTTTATCCTCTAGGGAACGAACGGTAGCTCATCCATCCGTCCGGGTCCCTCCTCTAATCAAAGCTTCGCGAAGACCGGCTGTCCGCTCTAAGCGGCGGTCCAGTTTTGCCGCTGACCGAGCAGCAACGTCTGCGGCCGGCCATTCTCGCCGCCGCGACCATTTCCGCGTTTTGAGCGAAAGCACCCCCGGACGCTGAACGCATGCAGTCGGCCCCACCTGTTTCCAGCATGCCAATCCTTTCCTCTCGCCAGTGACGGCCCTGCGCGACTCCGGTGGTCAGATTGTAGGTTCACTTTTAGAAGCTTTGGTGTTTTTTTTTTCTTCGGATGGTAACAAATGTCGGCCCATTGAGGACGCCCGTGCATTCGGGAATCTGGTGTATAGGCGTGCCACTCTTTTTCCTCCTCCTCCCCGCCACCCTTCTTCTTAATCTTTTGGCTTGGTAACACGGCTGCCATGCACTGTCTGCCTTTTACGCAGTTCCTTGTTCTTTCGTGTCTGCTGGCAATTTATCTGCAAACGCGCCGTAACCCGCCATGAAAGGCTATACCATTATAGCAACAGAGGAAGTTTCGTGACACGACACTCTCTGGGGTATTATTTTGCCTTGTATACATTGCTCTGAACGGTTCACTGAGTTCGTGCAGCAGACACGGTAACATTCTCTGATTTATGGAATATAAGTCTTTTCAACCTCGGTGGTAAGCCACATACATGCTATGCTATAAATGGCGATCGGGTTTAAGCACGTTGCCACAAAGTTCCCAGTTAGGCATTGTTCTTGCCCTCGCATAAGTTACAATATCTACTGCATACACTACAGTGACATGGTATCCACTTATCTCACAAAAAAGAAATAAATTACCATATCTGACCTTATAGGCTGGGTTATTTCCTGTCTATATAAGAAATCACTTAGCTCTTTACATATAGCCCCGGATAAACATTAACTGGTGCGTGGCAGTAATAGTAAAAATGCTTGCGATCTCCCTGGATTCGCATTGAAATGGGAATTTTGTTTCGCAACTTTGTGAACAGAGGGCAAAAAAAAAATCACAGCATATTTACGGGGCGAATCATGACGAGTGGGCGAAGCTCCGGAGGCAATCATCGGTAAACCGTGAATCTTCCGTGTTATTCACAGAGTCGATCATGATTTAAAGACGTGAAAAACACTGTGTGTATGCCGTGCTGCTTAGGCCTTCCACTCTCGTACGGCAGGATCTTGGTAGCGGTGTCGCGCAGCTCCACAGCGCGCCAACAGCGAACGAATTTTATTACAACGCTCCCTATAGTGTACGTCGCCGCACTAAATCAAACGATCGCCTTCCACCAATGACGCGCGCCATATGTGACATCATTTCTATTATAACATCTCGCATCTTTCATTATCAAATACAGGTATCGCCATCCAGTTTTATAACAGCTCGCATCTATTCATCAACTGCAAATACCGCCACCTAGTGAACACTTCAAGTACCGCCATCTAGCTTTATAACATATCGAATCAACTATCGCCACCTAGTGAACACAGCAAGAACTAAAATAGAGGTGGCTACCCACTACTACTACAAATACATACCTCAGAAAATGTAGTACAGACCCACGCCTTAAGGAGCTTCGCCCCTAAAAATGACGCTATATATGCATGACGGTATGGCGAGGGCGCAACCATGACAGCAATTTTTCAAGTTTGCAGACTGTTTACCGTGTCCGATGTTGGTTGCTCCGCTCTTTGCTGAGCATCTTAGTTCTGACGCAATGCTATAAACATCAGATGATTGATGATTGACGGTTGATTGACGTTTGTTTTTATTATTGTATCATTGTTTTAATCATTGTACCTGAAGTAAGCTGTTCAGCAAACTTACGCAGCAACTCCTGCAAGAACAACGTCGTACAGAGTACTGCTCCACTTTGTTTAGAAGAACATTGCTATTGTTTGCATACATTAGTGGCTGTATAATCATTTACCTCGTGCAGTGTAGTGAGTGAAAATGTTACCGAAATAGTGCGTTACGTCGATAAATAGCAGGATAACACAATAACAGTAATAACCCGGAAAACGTCCTTGCTAAATTTTTAATAAATCTACCACTTGCGCTGACTTAGGAACGTGCTCCGGCTTTTTTAATCCACTATGTTTAAAAAAATATATAGCTGTAAGCATCTACCGATCATTGCCACTGTCAATGCGTGCAGCATTGTCGTGCATTACAGCTGCATTCATGTGGAGTGTGACTCGGCGATATGGCATGTACGTTTTGAAAAGGAACCATGCAACACGTATACCTACCTTCGCTCGGAACACTCTTAATGTGATTACCTTGTTCTTAAAGCGATTACCTTGTTGTTAAAGCTGTTTGTGAAACATTCTTGAAGCTGCTTGCTAAGAGAAAAAACGTCTGTGGTACGAAATTGATTTAAAAGCACTATTTTCTTTCACGTAATTAAGCAAAAAAGGCAAGTGATATGGGGCTTTAAAATGGCGGAATACCATCGTGACTAGGATTTCCAGCCAGCGCATACGCAGTTTCACGAGTATATGGAGGTGTGTATTGATGAACTCAAAGAATCATATGTTTGAACACTTGGCTGCTGCATTGAATCTCTTCTTAAGAGAGTGTCCCACTTGCGTGGCAGATAAGACTTGGCTCTTTGTTATTCTTAACGTGATGGCGTTTAAGAGCTCGTTTGACAGAAATTCTTGCGTCGGCGTTGGCATTGTTGGTTATGAGCAAAACATAATCTTGTCCGTAGATAAAAAATCAAGAAAGCTGCAAATAAA